GTTTGATTTGTTCGAGTGCATTGTAGAAGCTATCTGGTTGAGGATAATCTTGTGAAGTTTGATTTGTTTGAGTGCTTCGTATAAGCTATCTGGTTGAGGTGATTGTAATTTGTCCATTTATATTTGAGCTTTTGTGCTCATTGTCTGGATTTGAGAGCTTTCAAGTACTACTCATCTAATATACTTAAGGTATAAGTGTTCCATAGAAAGTTTAAACCAAAATTTTCTCTCTATAGGTCTAAAATTGTGTGTATTTATTCCTGTGGTAGAAGAAGACAGCATTAGGTGATATATGTACTAACTAAAAGTGTAATTTGAGTAAGTTAATAAGAACTCAATATTGAGTCCAATCCGTGCTTTGAAAGGATTTAAGCAATTATTATTATTATTTTAAACTGAGTTAGTTTTCAGTACAACTTAAACTCAGTAAGTTAGTTATCAGTACAACTTAAACTTGGTAACATATAAGAGCATCTCCAGTAGCTTGTTAAAACACATTTTTATGTAAAATATATACATTAGCACGTATGATATGTAATTTTTTTTTTTTTTTTTTTTTTTTTTTTTTTTTTTTTTTTTTAATCTCCAGCAGTCTGTAAAGATATATTGTCAGGTCACCAATGAGTAAATTATTTTATATTTTATACAATCTTTTTACACAGTCACATCAACATATTTCCTTTCTTTTCCATCTTTCTCATTCCATTATAGAATCAACCCTATATTAAGTAGGATTGTAAAAATTATTTAGGATCCAGACATGACACTGGTTGGTTGTTATTGTAAAATATATTTCTTACACAAAAGATTTAAAACAACTGTTGGAGCTAAAAAAAATAATCCAAAATTTTTATATTATGACACATCAGATTTACACAAAGAAATATATATACAACGGTTGGAGATGCTCGAAGTGTAAGTTGTTATTGTTAGGAGTATTGCATGTGTTTTTTTTTTTTTTTTTAAGTAATGACAGAAAGCCAAAAGTTGGACACATCCGACTAAATTTATGTAAAAGATGACATCATGATGACATTATAATATTGTATTTTTCTTTTCTTAGTTGGTACTTACACACACATGCATCAACTGAGGTTCGAACCCCTGACCTCCCTTTGAGAAATAGGAGCATTCTACCGCTATGCCACTAGTATGTTGATTATAATATTATAATTTATAAAGGATGGTACTATAACTTAAATCTTGTATGATTTAGGATAATACTGCAATTTAAAACTTGTCTGATAATTCAACTTCTTCCCCCTTTTTTTTTTGTTTGTTTGTGGAAAGTAAAATAAATATTATAAATAAGGAAATGGATTACAACAAGGGCCATATAGCGCAGTTAGCCCGGCTAACTTTAAGAATAGGGCCCCAAGCCCAACCCAACAAAACATAAAAATATTTATTTAAAAAAACTAGAATACCTTACTTTTTAAATATATACATATTATACAAAGTCAGGGGTTCTCCAACCTTCCATATATATATATATATATATATATATATATATAATTTCATATACATATATACAGTCTTGTTCAGTTGTTCCTGGTGTGCAAGGAGTAATATACGCGACTTCAATTTCAGTCGTTGGATTTCATCCAATGACTGAAATTGAAAACAACTATATTAGTTGTTTCTGGTTTTTGAAAACTCCAAAAACACTCAATTTGAGTGTTTTAAATAAAATTAAACACCTTATAATAAGGAAGTATTAATAATAAAAAAATTAAAAAAATAATTCCACTAACATCATTTGGATATAGAAGAATGAGAGTAGTGAAGTCTTTTTAAGAATTATTTTATACCATCAGTTGTGATGATAACTTCCAAAAAAATTTTATCTTCTTTCATTTTTTAATATTAGCTAGGAAAAAAAAAAAAAAAACCCCTTAATAATTGGAGAAATAAATTGATTATACGATGATACGAACTAAAAAAAAAAATGTCTCTCATGTGAAGTTATTCATAGTCATGCATCGAGAAAGGAATATGTTGAGTGAGATACTAACCCTTGCGAGAAATTTATCTGAGTATCCAGTAACAAAACTTGCACTGTTTGAAGACAATGTTTTTAACTAGGATATAAATATAGAAAAAAGAGCATAAGGTGTTTAATTTTCTTTTTTCCCCGTAATAGAAAGACTCCACAATTTTCGTGGAATTATTTGCTTAATTTTTTTATTATTAATACCTCCTTATTGTTTAATTTTATTTAAAACACTCAGGTTTTGGAGTCTTAAAAAATGTTTACAATTTCAGTCATTGGATGAAATCCAACGACTGAAATTGAAGTCGCGTATATTACTCCCTACACACCAGGGAGCAACTGAACAAGACTGTACTATATTAGTTGTTTCTGGTTTTGAAAACTCCAATAAAATTAAACACCTTATAATAAGGAGGTATTAATAATAAAAAAATTGAAAAAATAATTCCACTAACATCTTTGGATATAGAAGAGTGAGAGTAGTGAAGTCTTTTTAAGATTTATTTTATACCATCAGTTGTGATGATAATTTCCCAAAAAAAATTTATCTTCTTTCATTTTTTAATATTAGCTAGGACAAAAAAAAAAATCTCAACAATTAGAGAAATAAATTGATTACACGATGATACGAACTAAAAAAAATTTGTCTCCCATGTAAAGTTATTCATAGTCATGCATCGAGAAAGGAATATGTTGAGTGAGATACTAACCCCTGCGAGAAATTTATCCAAGTATGCAGTAAAAAAAACTTGCACTATTTGAAGAGAATCTTTTTGACCAGATATAAATATAAAAAAAAGAGCATAAAGTGTTTAATTTTCTTTTTTTCCCGTAATAGAAGGACTCCACCATTTTCATTGAATTATTTGTTTAATTTTTTTTATTATTAATATCTCCTTATTGTTTATTTTATTTAAAACATTCAGGTTTTAGAGTCTTAAAAAATATTTTCAATTTCAATCACTAGATGAAATCCAATAACTAAAATTGAAATTGTATATATTGCTCCCTACACAAAAGCAACTGTTCAACTGTACACAATTTTTCCCATACAAACGTGAATGTCGTTTCCTTACGGTCAAACCAAAATGGTGGGCCTGTATAAACAGTTTTTCTCCATAAAAACGTGAATGTCGTTTCCTTTAGTCAATATACGTATATATTTGCTTAGTGATCATAGACGGACCAAAGAGAAAATATATATATATATATAGATCTCCACTGATAAATAGCATGATTGACCCATCTAGGTCAAATATTGTCATCATCCTATTCAAGAAACAAAGAACTACTCATTTAATTACCAAATATATATATATATATATTAAAATTTTATAGTCATAAAATATTTATAAAGAAAAAAAATACATATTAAAATTTAACAAAAATAATCTAACAATTAATTTTGGACGAGTTATTTTACATGCCTCATCTGATTGACTCGACCTAAACCTTTACAAAATATCAAAAAAATAAAAATAAAAATATATTTTACTTGAAATAAAAAAAATTCAAAAAAAAAAAAATATTTTACTTCAAAACAAATAGAGCCTAATAATACAATATATTCTTATTTACCGAAAAAAAAACAATATATTCTTGAATTTGCTCCCCCAATTAAACTAATTTCATGCCTTTTTTTTGGAGTAGTCTACTTTCATATATATATATATATATATATATATATATATATATGTACACACACACATACTTTGTCTCTCCAGGTCCATACTAAGGTTCCTTGTTTTTTTAATGAATTCGAAGAGTAAAAGAGAAAAAATAAAATAAAATAAAATAAAGAGATAATTTTAGAAATTACAAATTTAGAGGAGCACTATATAATTTTTTTCATATATATATATATATATATATAAATTACGCTTTGGGACCACACTAATTCCTCCCATAATCAAACTAACTCTACGAAGTACTATATATATATATGTGGTAGTTTACTTTCATATGTATATATTTATATATATATAGACACATACTCTTTTTTTAGACTATGATTCGCAATATCGGTCATGGTTGCGATTTCGGTCGCGTTCGTGGTGTAAAAAATTTAAATAAAGTCAGTGTAAATTAACCGATAAGAGTCGCGTATCGGTGACAAACCATGCTCTATACTAATGTTGTGCTGGCACGTTGGCTGCCTAAAATTTCTTTGCGCCTCTATTATTTCACAAAAGGAGAAAAGAAAAACGTAAATTAATTTTATTTATTTATTTTTTTGAATGGTTAAATTAATTTTTATTTTCAGTCAATATATATATGTATCCATCCCCTGTTAGTTCCTTAACCATCACCCTTTAGTACCACACTACTTCCTCCAAGAATCAAACCAACTCTACGACTGATTTTTTTTTTTTTTTTGGAGTGGTTTACTTTCATATATATATATATATTTATATATTCTCTCTCTCTAAACTAAGGTTGTGCTGCCACTTTAGCTGCCTAAAATTTCTCTGTGCCTCTATTATTTCAAAAAAAAAAATAAAAAATAAAAAATAAAAAAAAGGGGAAAAACAAAATGGTAAACTAATTTTTATTAATTTTTTTAATGGTTAAATTAGTCTTTATTTTCAGTCAATATATATATATATATATATATATATATATATATATATATATAGGGTTGGTTTGATTCTGCGAGGAAGCAGTGGGGTCCTAAAGGGTTAGGGTTCCATTTAACTTGTGGGGCTAGTAGGGGATGGATACGAGGAAGTGGTGGGGTCCTAAAGGGCTAGGATTCTATTTAGGGATTATTACATATAAATGGGGTTAGGGTTTCATATTTACCAAGAGGCTGAGTCAAAGTCTCATATTTCTTAAAAATGAGGTTGACTAAATTGATGACATGGCACATGAATTATTACTGTTTAAAACTTGTGGTGCCTAAAATGCCCTTCTCACTATTCCAGCACATTTACCTTATTGCCCCCGTTTAATTTAGTCACTCAACTCTAAAGCATTGTTGCCCTAAAATACACAGTCATGCGTCACAAATCCAGCGAAGCAAGCCCAGGCAAACACAGCATCACCGAACATGGAACCCTAACCCTCCCTCATCTCATTCGTGAAGAGCCCTTAAGAGCCCTCTCTCTCTCTCCCCCCATCTCTGTAACAGGATTGAAGCGTAGCCGTTGAGCCCTAACCCTCATTCAAGCCCTCTCTCTTTCCCCCTCTGTAACAGCAAAGCACTTCTCCACGTCTAACCGTCGTTGGTGCGCCCTCTCTGTAACCCAGCGAAGCACTTCTCCACTTCTGCCATTCATTTATTGTTGTTCTAGTAATATGGTAAGTACTCTCTCCCTCTTAACACACACACGTTTATTTTTTAGATGATTATGGTCCTGATTTAGTGTTATAATTTTTTTTTTTTTTTTTCCAATTGGATGTCTGATTTTCATGTAGGTTATGTTTATATATATTCTCCTCTTATAATTTCTATTATGCAATCATATATATATAATTTCTATTCTGCAATCAAGATTGTTGTTGCTCTGTTTGTTGTATATGTTTGAAATGTGCGTAACAAAATGTTGCTCTCTTGTGCGTGACAAAATTAATTTTTAAAACTCAGTTTTATCCCACCAACAAAGGCAAAATTTTCATAAAGTAGATACTTAATTAATCAAATGTTTTTTTTATTTTTTATTTTTTATTTTTCTTCTTCTTCTTTTGTAATTAGGTTTGCTTGTTTTTGAAGAGTTCATGCTTTCTTTATACGTTGACTGAACTGAAATCCCAAATGTTATCCTACAATCTTTCCACTAGCATGGGTTTTCATACTTAAAATACTCGGAATTTGCTGAAGAAAACATAATTAAACAGGATAAAAAACAAATTTCCATGCATGTCCTTTGTTACCTGCTGAATTTTTTTTTTATAGAACATTAATCTGATCTTAAAACTTAAACATTGTACTGTTAATGCCTACATGTGTATAGTAGAGATTCAATGTCCCTAAATCCAAATAATTCATGTTCTTTAAATTTACTAGGACCATGTGGAAGCAAGTGGCAGTACGTGTGGTGCCTACAGGCTTTTTGTTGGATTTCACTAGTTAGCTAACTAGCTTGTGCCAAGGTAACAAGCTTAAATCCTATCTTCATAAGTCATTTGCTCTGGAGACCTTATGATACAATCAATAAATGTAAACTGTAAAGAGGCATGCATGTGATAGTCTTTGGGTAGGGACACTTGTTATCAAATGTTTGTGAAATCTACATTCCCATTTGCATTTGCTTAGTAAAAGAATTGTTTAAGATTACTAGTATTGGTTCTACAATATTAAATTAAAAACAAGTTTTTCATACATACTATATTTGTTGTGGTTTAGTGGTTGAAATGTAATTAAATATAAAATTTGAGTTTGGTTCAATTAAATGAAAATGCTTTATAATAATTTCATGATTAATATCTTGGGTGTTAAGAATCACTAATAAAGATTTTAGTTCTCAATATAAAACAAAAGGGAAGAAGCTACTCTGTTTGGATCTTTGGACTGTGACTCAGAGATGAAGTAACAAATCTTCATGGTTATGCTATGATTTGTGCCTTAGCTTACAAGGTTGGAAGTCTTTGGTAAATGTTTTCACTAGAGAAACATAGCATTTTAGAGCATGTCAGTGATGGCCTTGGTGTCTGATAATTACCAACATTTAAATAAATTAGATAAATAATTCTTTTTAGTAGACTGATTGAATATGTTAACATTTTTAAACGATTAAAAAATTTAGTCTAAGATATTGCCATGCAATGACCAGAAATGGAAAAGATTTCTTCACCATCTGTTCATGAAATTTGAATGGTTTTAAACAACAAATTTCTAGATATGCTTACAAGTTCCCCCCGCGCCCCCCCCCCCCCCCCCCAACCGGTGAAGAGTGCAAGCTGCTTTATACCTAAGCCCAAATTCAGTTGAAAATACAAGACACGAACAATAATGGGAAAACTGTTATATGACCTTTACGTCTAAATTGTATTTACGAGAAAAGAAAGAGAGAATGAAAGAAAGAAGTAAATTTCGATCAAAATTCTGTCCAAGACTGATGCTTTGGAAGTTATTTAGTTTCTAACGAGATGAAAAAGAGAAAATATAAAGCAGTATGTAGTTATCTAAACACCAGTTATATAAATAATAATAAATAAATAAATTAAGTACTTATTCAGTTTTATCAAAAGGGATGCAGAAAAACCCAAAAAGATAAACATATTGTCATAAAACAAGACATAGCATTGGTAATACTAATACCTCTTCGGGCGTTGATTCTCTTCTTGAATAGCCGAATTGGGTCATAACCCTCCAAACACGCCGCATAAATAATTATCCTGACATTGAAATTCAAGCAATTTTCAACCCATCAAAGAACCAAAACAAATAGCCCGAACTTTCTATATATATACACACACAGAAAAACAAAAATTGGTAAGAGGGGGACATACAAGGTGATCTCTCTGGCGGCTCTGGGGCTGCAAAACCTGCCACTCTCGTCAATTCTGGGCAGCATTTCTCTGGGAGATGAGAGAGAGTTTGCCGATTTTTCAAAAACTTCCCCAACAGCCGTGAGAGCTGAAGAAGTGCGAAGAGGAGAGCTTAATAGAGAAATTAAGCTTTCTGAGAATTAGGTTTTGAGTAGCATTCTCTATACCAGATCAGAATATGACACCTCTTTGCATTATTTGGAATCAAAGTAGAAATAGAAGTTAGAACTAAATTGAAGAGTAACACTACTTTTTGTATAAATTGAAGAGTAACACTACTTTTTTATCTAATATATTCTACACCCGTGCATATATATAAATATATTGTGGAACATACATATTAAATTGATGACTTAATATGAATGCCACAATTAAACACACTACCTTAGGGGGGGTATTCCCAAAGTTTCTCATTTTATCCGTTCGATTTTCTAATAATAGATAATAAATAATCTCCTATTGTGTACAGAATCACAACACTTACTCCAAAAACATATTATATATATATATATATATATATATATATATATATATATATATATATATAATATTGTGAGTTGAGTTGAGAATTTCACTTGATAGAGCTTTGATGTCAAATAAATAAAGAAAGACAGGTTTCATAAATGAGGAGTGAAGAGGTTGAGGGAACACTGACAATATTTCTTTGTATTTTGCTCTGTTTTGAAAAGGCTACATGAGAGAGCTCTCTCTCTCTCTTTGAGGTGGATCTGATTTTTTTGGTCCAAAACTCTGGCACTACAATCAAACCAAAGACACCACCTTTATGTGAAGGTGAATACGGATACTACATGTCTTTGCACTAGGAAAGGAATCAAAATCAAAATCAAAATCAAAATCAAAACAGCTAATGGGTGATTTAAAGTTTTCAATGGGAAATAGATAAGTGTAGTACTACTAAAGTCTTTTTTAAGAGAAAAGCCTTCAAACATGGTAGAGTTTATAGATTTTTGTGGGGATTGCTTTATTAAATCTGCCTATGCTCTTTTAGCTGCATTATATATTTTTCTCGCAATCGAGATATACATGGTTTTACCCCACTAATTCTCGGAGCTCCCAAAGAATTATTTGTACTCATGAAAGCGTAGTCTCAAAGAATTATTTGTACTTATGAGGAATCTAATTTTAAATCTGGTGCTTCATGTACTTTTATTTTTTGATTTTCAATTGTATCCAAACATCTTATTTTTTTATATTTCCATTAAAATGGTATCTCTCTTTGATTTTGGATCATGTGTGTGATTATGAAATTATGTGTTGATTTGTAAGGTTGCTTTCAGCTTTGGACAAAAATAAAATGAAATGCTCTTTGAATTATCGACTCTCAATTAACTATGTTGGCAGCCTATTGCAATCGATTAGAGTGATTAATAAATTCTTAAAATTTTGTTTCTTGTGAGGGAGGGTCTAATTTTGTAATTTTGCTTTAATGGTATTTGATAGTAACAGAAAAATTCAGTAAGTTAATATTTATATTTGGTTTTATACTAAGTCGCATAAAGTGGTAGATAGAGCACAAAAGCAACAAAATTAAATTACAAACAAATCGTGAGAATGGGAGCTAGATTTACACCTGTTAAAAAGAATTGTATGACCTAGATTTTAACACAAACACACTTGTCATAGGCTAGCTACACCTATTGTAACTTCTGCGGCTAGCTATTGGTCACTGTTCTTGTTTGTTTGAGTGTGTTTGGATCATAAAAAAACAAACATATTTCAGCCACTACATGAATAGCTTCCCAATGAGATTGAGGAAAAACTTCAAGACAAAATGGCTGAGCTAAATCTAGTTTATGATTATGTTAAGTGCTGTTAGGAGGAGATTGAAACAGCACTGGACCGTCAATAAGCACATCAATCTTAAGAATCATAGTGTGAACTATACTTTAATACAGGTCCATAGAACACGTGTGCCATTAGGGGAGAGAAAACCCTAACGTACCTCGATTTGGAAGGAGAAAGAGAAGGAATGAGAGAAATGGTATAATAATACTTGTTTAACCTTCCAAAAAAAAAACCTTTAGGAGTCATCCAAACCAACATGAATTTGTTCTAATTTTTACAAGAATTAGGCTGAAATATTTAAACATAACACGACTTTGTCATATATATGTATGTTTATACATGATTTTAACACACACACACTGGCCATAAGCCTAAATACCACACATTAACTAGTACATAATGGAACACATACACAAAACTAGTAGTAATCATGATGCAACTAATAAGCTCCATATGATCAAAGTAGTTTCACAGCTTATTTATCATTAAGCAGTAGTTGCCATGGACTGATATAGATATATATTCAAAGCATATAATTTTAAATTTTTAAGCTCATTACATCAACAAACTATCAAGACTTTCATTTTATTTTTGTCCAAATCTGAAAGCAACCTTACAAATCAACACATAATTTAATAACCACACACACAATCCAAAATCAAAGAGAGATACCATTTTAATGGAAATATCAAAATTTAGTTAAAACCATTAATACTGACCATGGTTATATCCATTTGAAATTTTAAATTCACATTGTCAGTTACAACCAATACACACCACAATATTGGTCGATAGCTATGAGTAGTATCAATTCACTCCGTTAGAAAATAATATCTATGTAAAATCAGCTATATCTGTATCTTCCTACAAAAAGAGTCAGACTAAATCAGCTATATCTGTATTCAAGCTATATATTCAAGGCTCTTTGATGACTGCAGACTAAATCCTCAGCAGAACGTAGGAATTTAGGAGTTAAAATTCAAAGCCACCAACACATAGGTAGTCCAATTAGTTTTTATGTATAATTAATTATTATAACTCAATTTAGATCAAGAATTATTCAAGATTGTTGCCTCTTTCTCAAATGGCATGTAGAGTATACCTCTGTGTAATATGTCTTTAGGCATCTACGCACATGATAGAATTGATGCAAAAGCTAGCAAACTCTATAAATGAGGCTTTTTTAATATATGTATTTAGCATTAATTTATCAAAAAAAATGTATTTAGTATTAATTTATTATTCCAACATTCCCTTGTACTTGTCTCCCCCATTTTCAAGACTTACACATATAAATTTTGTGTGTGAAAAATATTCAACACTCTGCTCTCTCTCTATTTAACTCTCAATTTTTTATTTTCAATCTATATTGTCCCATTTAACTCTCTATTCATCTCATAATCTCCCTCATCTTGTATATATGTTTGTTGTACACATAGTGATACAATTATCTAGTAATCAATGGCATTGATTTTGTGGTTGTATTTTGATTTGAAAAAGGTCTGTAGTGTGTGTTTAGGAAAAGTTTAATCTTGACACCGCCTATCCCTATTGAGGGAATTAGTAGTGTTTCGCTGTAAATAGATCTCTAAATTACATTATATAATTATGATTTTTAATTGTTTTATATTTCATTTTTTTTTAACTTCATATTTAGTTTTTTTTTTTAAACTAATGAGTCAATTTTCGAAGCAGTTGGACAAATGGATGAGAGACAAATTATATGCTATTGTCGATTTGATGGGAAAATTGACAAAAATGAGAATGGGGAAATTATATACATCGGCGATGTCACAGACCCTTTTATGATAACAACAACAACAACATACGAATCATTTATAAATGAGTTACAACAACGTTCATCTTCAAACATGAGTGGTAAAGTCATATATTATACCACCGAATCTAACAAGAATGAACTTTTGAGGATGACGGGAGAATCTGGATTTAGAGTGATGCTTGTAGTGAGTGGTCCCATGCTAAATGTGTATATGGAAGATGCAGAGCCTGTAATTGCATCATGCACAATTCCTACTGATCATAGTGAGAGGTAAGACACATATATTTAAAGTAATACATTGATGTATGCGCTGCATAGGTTATGTGATTTTTAATATACCTTTTTATCCACTTGTAGACAATGTGTTGAAGCCACATCGCCAATTGGTCTTCTACAAAGTGTTGCGTCAACGTCTTCATTTCCTCCGATAAATGCGCATCGGGATTCTTTCCGACACATTGATGACATTCTTTGCGTGGATCAGCTTTTTGACAGCCCAAATGATTTCAAAGATGCACTCGTTTTGTTTGGTCTTCGTAATCATTTTCGGTTCAAGTACTTGGACAATAGCAGAAAATATTATAGAGTTGTGTGCGAGGTTAATAATTGTCCATGGAAATTATCAGCTGGTTGTGAAGGAAGTGGTGATATAGTGAGAATCAAGCGGTTTAATAATGTTCACACTCACACTGCTCAAGACATTTCAGATTATAAAGCCATTTTTTGGTCGAAGGAAATGGGTCGAGCTATTGTGAACAAGGTTAGGGACAATCCTAAATGCACCCCCAAGACTATTTCCACAGACATAAACGGTGAATTTTCTGCTAAAATGACTTACATGCAATCGTGGAGAGCTAAGGAGTGTGCACGTCATATCATTGAGGGAAATCCCAAGGATAGCTATATTTTAGTCCCGTGGTTGTGTGAACGAATAGCAGAATATATTCCTGGGACAATTACATCGTGGGAGTGCACGGATGATAGGAGATTTAAGCGAGTGTTTGTAGCTTATGGGTGCTCCATACGAGGTTTCATCAACTATTGCAGGCCCATGTTAGCAATCGATGCTTGCCACTTGAGTGGCAATTATAAAGGAACAATGCTTGGTGCAACGGGGTTCGATGCGAATGATGGCTTGTGGCCTTTGGCGTATGCTGTTGTTTCTTCTGAGAATGATGATGATTGGCATTGGTTCTTGAGCAAGGTGAAAGAGATTCTAGATGGTCGCATTGTGACAATCTTAACCGACAAGCATCCGAGCCTAATAAGTTGTATTAGAGATATTTTTGGCTCCCAGTACCACTCATGGTGTCTTCGTCACCTAACGGCGAATTTTTCTACATCCATTCTTGGGAGACAAAGTTTAGGATTGAGGGCTTCGGGTAAAGAGCATGCGAAAAAATTACTCGATAAAATTGCATATGCTCGAACTGTAGATGAGTATAAGAATGCATTGGCTGCCATGCGGGTATTTCGAGGGGAGTTATGCGATTGGGTTTTGGCGAATTCACCTGAACATTGGTCAAATGCTATGTTTACTTCCAAGCGTTGGGATAAATTATACACCAATCAAGCAGAGTCCTTCAATGCATGGGTGAAAGAAGAGAGGGTTTTTTCAATCACAAGGTTGATGGATACACACATGCAAAGACTCAGCAAATTTTTATACCAAAAGAGTTTGGACGTTCAGAAGTGGACTATCCCGGTTGGGGATCGTATTGAGGAGAAAATAAAAAAAGAGCAAGAGTTAGCTCTTGGTTTTCAGTCGATGAGTGTTTCGCCTACTGAGTGTACAATATATGATCGAGACAGAAAACCATTCAGGGTGGTATTTGGCAGTGAAAATTCTTGTAGTTGTTTGAAGTGGACCATGAGTGGGATTCCTTGTTCGCATGCATGCTATGCCATCCATGAATTATCTTTAAATATTTATGAGATGGTTGATCCATGGTTTAGGGTTGAAACACAACAAAAACTATGTGAACATCTCATGTCTTCTGTCCCCATGCATGATATGCCGAATGCAGCTGCTGTTGCTGCTGCTGACGGTGAAGGTGCTTCCCATCTTAGGCCTCCTGCGGTAACACGTCCCCCTGGACGACCTCGTATTAAACGAATCGAATCACAATTTCAAAATGTAAGGTCGTTACATTGTTCGCGATGCGGCGAGAATGGTCATAATCGTCGAAAGTGCAAGGCTCCTATACCTGGATAGAATAGTTATATAATTGCTAATTCTAGTGGAGTTATTTTGTAAGGTGTTAAGGCCTTAAATATGGAATTATTTTGTAATTACTATTAATTCCTTGGAGCTCCCCTACTGCATTAGTATAACTATGTTGTGATAGTATTTCTAACTTATTTAGAAAACATTTCTAAGTATGATGTAACTTATTCTAAGTTGAATCTGTATTATTCGTCTGGTGGTTTATTTTGGTATTGAAATTATTTTCCTGGGTCCTCGTATGAGTCTCATGTGGAGTGTTATTTAAAAATCATAGGTGTGTGAGTTTTCTGGCAGCTGGAGGGTCGTGAAAGCAAGGAGGTTATGGGATTATGTGACAATGGACGGGCTTACATGTTACATGCTTACGGAAGGCTAGGAAAATAACATCATATTAAAGTCATTATGACTTGTTTCCTCACTATTAATTCCTTGGAGCTCCCCTACTGCATTATGACTGTTATTTCAACCACAATTTACCTCGTGAGTCTCTCTCTTCCTCACTTTCTTTGTGTCTCAAAAATTATATGAACATTGTGTTTACATTATCAACATTGTTTGACAGATGAGGCTGAATGGATAAATCAGTACAAAGGAAGAGTGTTCAGTTTAAACAACAAGCTTGTGGTGCATAAAATTTGGCTGCCGAATGAGGAATGCCCCAGATTGGCAATGTCTAGAGCCTTTGGGGACTACTTTATTAAGGATTTTGGACTTATATCCGTCCCTGAAGTGAGGTGTTGTCACATATAACCAGCAGAGACCAATTTGTTGTGTTGCGAACCGATGAGGTATGTATGGCACTTTTTGGTATTTATCACTTGTTCTTTTTTATACAATGACAAAGAAAAAGACTTGTTTGTTTCTCTATTAAATGTCCAAAAGATCACGTGAACGAATACGTTTCAAACTCACGAGCATAATTGACAATAATCACTTCAAATTATGTGATATCAGTTATTATTAATGAGTTTACAGGTTTTTGTTTTGGCTCAAATTGATTGGATTTTGAAATTAGTATGGATTTTTGAAGTTAATCTTAACATGCTGTGATCCTTGTTTTGTAAGCAGAATTTTTCCTATCTTTTCCTTCAAACCTTATTTAATCGGTAAGAAAATTTATTGATTTAAATTGATAGAAGAAAAATTGTGTGTTTAAGCTTCCAATGGACTTGGTTTCATGCAAATTGTTTGAGAATTTCTTTTTTATTGATTTTTCAAGGGGAAGTATGTATTTCTGGGAAAAATTGTTTCAAATAGATTTTTGGGCTTCCTTCTGATTTTTTGTGGTCCAAATTGTCCAATCATGTTTGATAGAATAAAAAAATAAAGAAACAATAATAAAAAGGATTTTGCTATAATCTTAGTTGACTACTGTTACCCCATTTATTTATTTATTTTGTTTAGAGTCTTGCTTTTGGTTACTAGCGCCTAATAAAAAAGTTGTTTGCTCATATGTCCCTTATTTTTGAGTTTTTTCATTTAACCATCTCCACTTGTACAATATTTTGGTGTTATATTTTGTTTAATTGATTTGCATGTACTTCAAATGTAGTCTTCCCGCTAGGGGCTGGGAAGAGATAACAACGGGAGCGTCGATTGCATGGCTATCAAGTACATCAAATTTGTAAGTTATATGGTCTTTATGTTCGATAAAAATCTTTTATGATTGCACATTTGTAATGCTTTTTATACTCATACTCGGGGGGGTCACATGCCTTTAAGTGACCAATTTTATGGTGTATCTTGAACTTTATTACCTTATTGCTACATCGGCCCATGTGGAGGCCATTTTTTTTTTTCTTGTTTTAAAATGTTGAAAGCATGGGAGTATGGGATCATCGTATGTAGAGGTTTTGATTGATTGTTGTGGAGGAGAAGTTGTTGATATGTTGTTTAATGAGTTAATGCAAGTTCTCACGTTCTTCGTACATGTTGATATGTGGAGGTTTTGCTAATTTTCTCTTAAACCCAACTCATTCATCAACGCTCTCTTGCTCTCTCTCTCTCTCTCTCTCTAGTCTTGTTCATCGTTTTGCTAGGATTTCTACTCTGTTTTTATACAATTTTGATCCCTATATATATATATATATATATATATATATATATATATATATATATATATATATGCTGTTCCTAAAACATCAATTTTGGATTCAGGAATTGGACACAAAAATGTCGCGATTCCCTCTCTCCGATCAGAAACTTCGAAGGCAAAATTTGTGCGAAAAAGTATGTGTTTCCATCTGCTTGTGTGTGTTTATGTATGTTCGCCAACCAATTGATATTTTTGGCTTTCTGTTTCGTTGCAATGAATTCAAGAAAACGAGAAAAGTTTAAATTCTTTTAGCTTTTGTATCGAATTCCTTTTGATTTTCTTTCTTTTGTTTGTCTTCGTGAATTTGTTGGACTTTTGGATTTACTGTGAACTACGGTTTCTTCGTCTACTATTTGAATGTTTCTTTTTTTTAGACGATATCTAGTGTTGTTTGCAATATCTTTAGATTTTTGTGGTTGATGTTCCCATTAATTTCTTGGATTTTGATTTTTTTTCACGTAAGGGTTTCTTTAGCATATTTGGATGGTTTATTGTCTACGAATATGAGTTTTCAGGAATTTAGGGTTTATTTGTTCAACTTGTATAGATTCTGCACGACTAGAATTTTTGACATCATTAGATAATTTTTTAAGTCATAGTCCTGTAGGTTTCTTGGTTTGGATTTCCATGGGATTCAACATGAAGATTCAGGGAAAACACACTCAATATGTTTTTGTTTCTATTTGTATAAATTTGGATTTACGTAGTTCTTTCTTTATTCAGAGAAATAGACCCAATAAAGTTTAAATAATCAATAGGTCCCATAATCTCTTGAGAGAGGTGCAATGAGATTGTGATCAAAGACACATCAAAAGAAGAAGTGAATTCAAATATATTTGATAATGAAGCAATAGGTATAGCCATTTTAGGGCTTTCCTTTCACAATTCCTCATTGGGGGGATCCACAACACTTCTCCCTTTTCCCCTTATAACTTCCTCCCACTAATTCGAATTAGGTCTAGCCGTCCTCCTTCATTCTCCATTTTTGTGTATGCTTAGTAGTGGGCTTAGAAGAGCAAGATTGGGTTGAATGACCAAAAGATTCACAATCTAACATCTGTGACTTCTCATATAGCTTCCTCTCTATATATACCAGTCTCGAACCTTGACCAGTGGGTTTATAATTCAAACCATAAGCCAACAGGCTATAAGGTGAACCGGTAAGCATTTTCATTTCTCCAGTTGTTAGGTTTCTAAGTGAGGAAAATAGATAATAATGTAATATTATCATATGTCCTATTGTCTTGGATTACAAAGAATTTTTACTCGAAAGGAACCAAAATAGTTGTAGAAGACAGTAACGATAGTTTCAGGTTTTGTTTTTGTGTTCCATATAAAGAAAATATTACATTTCAAAATATACTCTCTTTATTTATTTAATTTTTTTTTTAATATCTTTGCCTGCCTTCTTTTGTCATCGCAATAGGCTTCACACTAATCTTGCTCCTGGGTTTTAAACTCTATGGCTGATTTTTTCTTGTCATTTTGCCTTTATATATATATATATATATATATATATATATATATATATAGGTTTTATTGGAAATTCATAGGTTTATTCCCAACCGATCTGCAATGGATTTTGATTTTGCACATTACATGCTCAACGGTGGGATGGTAAGAAAAGAAAGCCCAACACCATGCTCTCCAGCCAAAGAAGCTTACAGGAAGAGGATCCTTGCTTTTAAGAACAAGTCTAGGAGATAGATTCCCCAAGTGGGTTTTCTTTCTTTCCTTTTTCTTCTTCTTGTTGCTAAGCTCTCATTCTGATTTGTGTTTTGGATTGATTGCTTTCTTGTTGACATGTGTTTGTTTGGTAATTTAACAGTCTCCAGAAAGGATTCTTGTTGTTTCTGAGCTCCTACATGAGTTTTATTTGAATTTACTGGATTGGAGTAGCAGTAACATTGTCGCTATCGCTCTTGGGAATTCAGTATATTTGTGGAATGCTGCTAATGGCGCTACTTCTGCACTTGTTGTGATTGATGAGGAAATTGGGCATGTGACAAGTGTCAGATGGGCGCCGGATGGAGTACATCTTGCTGTTGGACCCTTCATCTTGTCGGATGGTAAGAGTTTTCTTTTAATTATGCTTTCATTTTTTCTATTTTATTGATCATTTATGCTTTTGTTTCTTTGAACAGATTATTGTAAGTAATTAGACGAGGCATGGTGAAAAGTTGGCATTCTTTTTTAATGTTGTTCTGTTAAAAAAAGATGACAAGCATTTTTGACTAGTTGTAAGAAACCCTGGTCAATAAAGAAAAATTTTATTACAAAAAATGAGATGATAAACAATAAGATTCAAAACACATTCTCGCTGAAAGAAAATTTAAATCAGAGACGAAAAAGCCTAAAAATAAAGAATAGAGGCACTCACAGCCCGAGTGGTTGGAGGAACGAAACGTTCAACTGAATAACTACAAACCAGGAACTCTGCTCTTTGATATTTCATGAACTCATGTTTTCCATGATATGCAGGTGCTAAGAAGAAATCGGGCTTCTGTCAGTTTCTCTAACTGCATTTTGTGTGGAAAAAGAAAAACATAAAGAAAAACATGGGTTTAAATGCAACACAACATGCATTTTTATATCCCATTTAAGTTCTGATAAAGTTGGTAGTTTCTTTTATGTTTTTTTTAGTTTGGAAGAGAACAAAGTCCAGTTTAGTGGTGAAGTGCAAGGTTGAATGAGGCATGTATCATTAAAGATTTTATTATACTGATATAATGCATAAAGTGAACTACTATGAAGGATTATGGCTTGTATAGTTGGCCTATATTTTAGAAAACAAATATTAGAACTAAGAGTATTATATTCTTTATTTGGAGTGAAATGAAATGTATTTATTGCAAATTGTCACATTTCTCATGATCTAGGCATTAGATTTGATTTTTCTGGTGCCACCTCTCCATCCTGTACTCTAATTTTCATGGTTTTTCTGAACAGCTGAGGACTTTGCAAGACGGGCATAGTTCAAGGGTTGGTTCTCTTGATTGGAACAATCACACACTGTATTAGAAAACTGTATTAGAAAATTAAAAGAAACCAAAAACTGTCTTGGTATGGATGATGGCTTTAGGATACTGCTGAAGAAAATACTAAAAAAAATAAAAATAAAATAACTGTGTTGGTGTAGGAGTGATCCCAAAGTAGGGTTATTAAAGAAATTAAAGACTCAAAAGGTGATGTTTAACTGGTTAATCTTGAAATATAGTTGCAGTTTCTTTGTCCAGTTCTTTTATGATCCTGTTTTCTTACCCCTTGCTGAAAATATCCTATACTGGATCTTGGTTCCCTTTACTATTTAGTCTATTACTACTTACATATCTTGTTCACTGATAATCAAGTTAAATTATACTTGTACTTGAGAATCCAATATAA